ATACTAGAATATGGAATTACGGAAATCCTCAGGTCATAATCCAGCAGTTCAACCAGGGATGTTTCTCAGATAATGTGTGGGCGGACATTATGAGAAACATGAATTATTAATCCTGTTTATTGACTGCGTAACTTAATACTGCGTCGGATTATATGTTACCATATGAGAGACGTCCTTAAATTTATTTTATGCATGTTGGCTCACCACTATCTTCTAGTAGGCATGCTCGAGAATTTTTAAATAATGTGTTTGGATCACGCTGAACAGATCGAAGACCTGCAACAAAGTCGCCTCCACGATCACCAGACCTAAATCCACATAACTTGTTCCTTTGGGGTGCAGTGAAAGAGTTTGTATATAGATTGGACCAACTGAAGTCTTTCATTGTTTAAAAAATATACGAGACCTTTATTGCTGCAATCAAGCTGTAGGACACTCTAAACCAAGGTATTTAGAGGAAAAAGAATTTCTATTGTCCTAGCAGTAACGGAAATAATTAAGGTGAACACATTACGTTGTCCACCCAGTATACGTATGCATTAATAAACGATTTCATTAATCACCCATATCTTTATTATTATTTCCATTAGAAAATTTAGTACTTTTAGAAGAGGTACAATTTAGGATACCGGTTGCTTAACACTAGAACGACCAGCTGGGTCAAAATGATCCATCAGCAACTTTCCAAAAAAGTGGACGTTTGATATTGATAAATATTATCGTTTGTAACTTTCCGGCTCCATTTTCTGCATGTACAGAGTGTTTCATAAATGCATGCCAATACTTCAGGGGGTAAATCTACACATTAAAACCAGTAAAAACTGTCATACGGACATATGTCCTGTATAACCTTAGATTTCGAGTTATACAGTATGTCCGGTTTATCTCAGAACACGGAACTATGATACAAAACTACGAATAATACAAAAAAATATTTCAGACGAAAGTTGTAGGGTACAGAGGGCGACTATTTTTTGATTGTGCAATAACCTTGAAAAGCCCTGCAAATTTCGTGTTTAAGTTTGTAAATGGGAACGTATATTTTTCATGCCCAAAGTTTTATCTGCTTCATATCGATGGACATTATTTATCAACATTAGATAAGGTCACGACGTACTAAAGCGCACAGTAGCGTATGACGAGACATAAGATGAGCACTTCGAACAATTTCCTTTAATCGTCCATAACTCGAAAACTAAGGTATTACGGTCACATATCCATATGACATTTCTTTACTTGTTTTAGTGTGTAGATTTACCACCTGAAGTACTGGTGTGCATTTATGAAACAGCCTGTATATTTCTATCTGTATTGTATGTTTCAGTTACATAAAAATTCACTTTTGGAAAATCGCTAATGGTCCGTTTCGACCTGGTCAGTCGTTCTCGTGTTAAATCGTACATCTTTCACACCGTGTCAAACAAAAGTTTACAATTAATCTGTTCTTGGAAAAAAGTTAACTATAGTCAAATTGTGGTACGATTTCAACAACTTTCCCTTGTTAATTCGTACAAATTTTTACACAAACAATCTATCGTAGTCGAGAAACGAAAAGGAACATCATGACCCGTGTGACATGATAATTGCGAGTAAATCACGTGCAAGAAAAAGTAGACATCCGTGACCTTGTGACCTTGCCAGTAGTAAGAACCTGCCACGAACGATGGCTGGTTTGAAAACGATACTGTAAACAGACGACTTGATGCCCCTATGGAACTGCTATGGCACTGTCTACGCAGTTTTATGTAACAGGGATTACAGAGCGTTCGAACTGGACGCCCTTGGATCACATCGGATCGATATGAGAAAACTAGTTTTCGTTCGGGAGGCGACTGACAAAGAAAAACGGCCAACGAAACTGTACTATATACATGCCTGATCAGCCGTTCTGACTCTCGCTCGTTTGTTCGATCGATCGATCGACACAGTTAATCGACGAAGCGGTTGGACGATTCGTTCTTAGCGCATAACTAACTGATTAGGTTAATCTAGTATTTTCTACCGTATTATTCAGAATGACATTTCATTATTACACAGGGTGTACCGTAACTGGTGGTGCAACCGTGAAGGTAGTGAAAATTTTGTAAGAAGAAATAAAACCAAAAATATAAAATAAAGCTGTTCCACAAGGAACTTCATTTTCGAGAAAATTTCATTTAAAGATTCGCTACAAATTGTTGCTTTCGCTCGTACTTTTACGTTGGTAAACAGCCATGATGTCACATTTCGCAAAGAAGTCACCTACCCAGAAGATGGTGTAAACATTCTGCAGCTGAAATAAAAGAATCGTACGGACTTTCGAACAATTAAAGCGTCAAAGTACCATATCATCAGTTCTCTGATTCAAAAAGCAAGAAATTGTCAATTGCAATCTTCTTGATCGCAAAAATCTTCGGTCTTCGTTAAAGACCTACATTGACGAAATTGTCAACTGATTTCGTCAGTATGAATAATATCATTGGTCGCGAGCCGCTTTAAAAGGAAGAGGAAAATTTATAAGCAAGACAGTGATCATTCTTGCTGCAGCGAAGAATGTAACGAGGTCGGTGGAATTACTGTTATTCATATTTGTTTATAATTATACGCAGGAAATTGCATCGATCTTTTTATACTCCTATCCTCTCTATAAACGTCACTGTGCATTTGTTGACGTGGTATATTTTTGAATTTGTTAGTGAGACGAGCGCAGAAAAGGATCAATAGAGGCAGATAGGTAAATTAATAATGTTTAAACAAGTTTTTATTTTGGTGATCAAAATTTTTGAAATTTTCTTGTAAATGTCGGTCATTACTTTAGAGTTAAATTTAACTATAAAATAATTTACGATTGTCCCCTTTAATCTGCTCTTTATTCAAAGAATGAAAGCACGTTCATGACTTTGACATAAGAAGAACAGCACACAGTATTTTAAGGAGGGAGCACCACCCTGAGACATCTAGAAATAGGTACAAGTTTAGGAATTTTTTTCATAGGTAACTGCTAAATGAAAAGTTTTAATTTTTACACGGAATATAAATTGAACTTTCAGCTTTTCTCTCTAATTTTTTAAAAATAAAAATGTTACAAGATAGAGAAGTTGCTATGAAACCTCTTTTGTTAGAACATTAATTGCTGGCCACCATTGCCGGCAAGAATTGAAGCATCTGAAATAAATAATTCTTCTTGTTTTCTAAATCAAAATGCATTACCTACAATGTGGCGTACGATCTTTACGATATATCAATTACTTAATTTTTTAGAAACGTGTTTTAGCAAAAAGTGGTTCTTCCTCTTCAAACTGCCACCACTTCTATAATAAATACTATTTTTGTAAAATCTTACGCGACATTGTAAATAATGTTTTTATTTATAAATCAAAATGAATTTTTTATTCCAAACGTTCTAATCCTTGCCGGCGACGGCGGCCAGCAATCAATATTCTAGCAGAAAAGCTTTCGTAATAACTCCTCCATTTTATAACATTTTTACTTTTTAAAAATTGAAGAAACAAGCTAAAATTTTACATCTATATCCTCTGAAAAAATTGAAACCTTTGATCTAGTAGTTTACCTATGAAAAAAATTCCCAAACTGTAACCTATTTTTAGACGCCTCAGGATGGTATACCCCCTTAAGTGCCAAAAGGATAAAATAAGGGTCCAAAATTGGGTCCAAAGGGTTTAGCAATTAATAGGGAACATACAGACAGACGTTCTATTTTATATGTATAAATAATGAAATAATTAAAATACGTAAAGGGTGAAGAACTTTCATGTAAACAAGATTCAAAAATTGACAAATCTTTTATGAAATAAAAGCTGTGGTAATAAGTTTATATGTATACAAGAGAAAGAGAATTGAAGGTATACGCACGATAGACAATAGTACATTATTACAATTGAGCAAGAAAATCACAAGAAAAACTGGTAATGAAGAAATAAGAACTTTTGAGAGATGGTCGGAATATATAGCGGGGCAACAAATGTTTGTAGTACACAAGTAAGACAAGGTTCTTTATCACTTCGAGCAATTTATCAATTAAGGCAAAAATATACTGGCAAAGATAACAACGATTTCACTGGATTTAGTGTAAGACTGTGGCACGCAGAACAACTTTCTATTTTACTTATATCTGCAATGAGTGTAAAATTTCAATAACATCCAAAAACGTTCAAGCAGCCCCATTATAAGGATATTGTATAAGAGACGACCGAGTATGAAATCTTGTTGAACTTTACGCGTAGAGTATTCCTACTCGACATCGTTGATCATGACCTGCTAATATCGATTAATTAGGAATTACGTTATCTAATAATCGAGAGAATTAAAAGTCGTTGTATGATTTATGTATTGCTTGTATTATTTTTCTCCTAGTATTTCACTAAATTTGTGACTAAAAATTTGGGTTCTTAACGAGAAAAAAGTGAACAAGATATATCAGCTATTTGAATGTCGGAATTCGAGGTTATGAAGTCGCTGTTCCATTCGAATTAAAATAAAAAAAAAGGAGAACGAGTCGACCGCATCTCGTATTTGTTCAGAAGAAAAATATGTAGGTCTGTTGGTTAGCATTTGCAGCTGCTTATGCGGTTCACCGCTCACTGAACGGTGATTGCCGCTATCATAAAAGTTAATGCGCGTAAATGACACAAGTTCGAAATCTGCACTCGGTTGAACACTACCACAGTGATTTGTAAACACTACAAAGTAATATTTAAAAAATAATAGAAAATTGAAGAAATGTATTACGTGCCCAAGATTTAGTAGTATACTAAGAAATTAACGCAAAATAATAATTAATTTTTTTTTTATCTTATTTCTAACTACCATGTATTTTTCTAATAAATTTAATTGCTTCGTCACAATAATTGTATGAACAAAACGTTTATCGACACTATCTCAATCGGTAATCAAGATCGTAAGCTTCCTTCTACGTAGCGCCATCTACGTAGTACAACCTCGTACACGTCCAGGCAGACCGCCATTGATTAAACCTGTCAGAGAATCAGCTGATCGGTTATTCACGAACGTGACATCAGCTGTGCGCAATCATGGACGCGTTGAGCGAAGAAGATTTTGTAATACCTACTCCTAAATATGAATGTAAGTACACGGTGTCATGCCACAAGCGCGATAATGTGTTAAATTCACGAAATAAACATTTCAATCATATCGGAATAATACATTTAACCAGCAGCCGGCACGCCATTATACCGGCATCCATTTTGCCACATGTGGACTGGTTGATGTTGAAATTCAAAATATTATTTTGCGCGCAATTTTACGGAAAAATAGATAAACACAGGTACGTACGTTTTGTTTTTCAGATTTAGACCACACAGCAGACGTGCAGTAAGTATTCAGTTCATAAATCCCTGTTGTCGATGACCAATATGTTTTGGAGGTTACATACATGAATAACCTAAAACAAAAAGTGGATCGATGTATTGTTACCATTAATAAAATGCCAAGTATATTAAGTTAATAATGTAAGTATATATTTTGATATTAATGACGTATTATAGATTACACGCATGGGGTGAAACCATGCAAGAGGCTTTCGAGCAATGTGCGATGGCCATGTTTGGGTACATGACGGATTTAGAGTGGGTTGAAATGACACAGGTACACCACATAGAAGCAGAAGGACACGACATGGAAAGTCTTCTTTTCCATTTCCTCGATGAATTATTGTTTATGTTTAGTGCCGAGCCGTTTCTCGTTGCAAAGGTATATTCGATTTTAAGAGTGTTCATTAAGTCACTGTCAAACGCAAAATTTCTTCTATATCGTAAAAACACTTCAATTTATGCTTCTTTGATGTTTTTATACATATACCCTTTATGCGATATTATTTACTCGATAGATCCTTAGATTCGTCTTATTGTTACACTAACAAATTAAATATCAAAATCAAACATCTCTTCCTTTTCACAATTTTGTAACATATTTATTAAGAGAAAGTGTCCACCTTGTTGTTGTCAGAAAGTGAAGATCACTAAATTCGACGTCGAAAATTTCAAGATCACCGCGATAGCGATAGGAGAAGAATTCATGATCCGCAAACATACGCAAAACGCAGAGGTGAAAGCGATCACGTATTCGGCCATGCAGATTGTCGATCGTCCAGAGATGCATCGTCCCGAAGTTTTCGTGATCGTAGACATATAAACATTTTGGGCCCGTTTCAGCGTCCCGTTTGATTCTTGGACCGTCCATGGAGCTTGCCTTGGGTTAATACTTGAAACACAAAAGTGGGGATGATCACATGGATGTAGGAGCAAGAAGGGCGGGTATATACCTCCCTTACATCCTACGTAGGGTACGATCCTTTTGTAGTTGCGTAGGGTTCAAATAAATACGTTACGAAGAAAACACCGGGATCCCTTCTTGGCGACCTACATCAGGTACGTATGAACGTATCAGGGAACCCTGCAACTTGTCGCGAATACAGCTCAAGAATGACTTCGTGGCACCAGCGTATAATAGTATAAGATATATTTGAATAATAAATATTTGAATTCCTATTTACATTATCTATGTATACCTCTACGAGCTTTAACTATTATTTAAAACTGTCAACAATGACGCACTTTCAATTGTTAAACGCATCAAGAAGTATTACGTCATAGACTATTTGTATATTTTTACATATGTATAATAAAGATATTTTTACATTTCTCGTCTGTGGAAATGTTCGTTGTGAACGATGAAAGAGTTGATGTTTATGTTGTTCAAATTAAATTACTGTTAGGAGGAATATTTGAGAACACGAACTGAAGTACAAATGATCGACTGACACTGGAAATTTCCGTACCGTACAGTTGAAACGGGAATGAAAACTAAACCTACTTTCGCACGTGCGAAGGGTACGGCCCTGGCGTCCAACACCCCTCCATCGTGAAGGAAGCGACGACCGCCCGCTTAGTTTCGGGCAAGAAACGACAGGCAGTGGGATCCTCCCAATCTTCGGAAGTGTGTGTAGTCGAAGAAAGAGAATCAAAAGGTTTTGTAAATTACATAATTCGAGAGTATGTGTATCGTTTGTTTAATCCTTGCCCCCTTTCATTCGCGATAAGGCCCATGTTAAAGGGACTCACTGCCAACATGAAGCGTAGACGTTCCGAAAACGCACACCCCTGACCATGGCGGACCAATATGGTAATAATCTATAAAGACAATATATTGTGGCGTTTCGAAATGTCAAAAACGAATAACTGACGGTATTGTGCACGAACGTGTCCCGGGAAAGTCGTGGTATAGGGATTTTTCACCTACATGCCGGAACTTGCGTGGCAGTTTCGTGGAAAACGTGAGGGACAGTTTTGGCGCGTGTGCTCGTTATCTCTGTGAAAATTCTGAATGACTCATGGATCTGTGCATTTCCTCGTTCTGTTTTCGTTTCAACGAACGTGACACGCGATACTGGAAAAGCAAAACGACGTGTGCCCATCGTGGAACATCTAACCCTAAGAAATATAAACAAATGTTCACGTGAATATTCGTGTGCTGTTCATCGTCTCGACAAACTCGAGAAACAAGTATAAACAGTGATTGAAGAGGAAAATCGTGGAAAACGAAGGAAAGGTGACACGGTCTAGGAACTTTTTTGGATATCTGCGATAGCTGGCGGCGCGGTGGTTACGGAGAAAAGCGAAGTGACGGTTTTGGCGCGCGTACTCGACTCCTGTGTACGACCGGCAGATGGCCGGTGCGCCGGTACGTTATAGGCGCGCGGCCACGAACACACCGACACATGACAGCCGCCTAAGCACATACTACCACCGTGACAGAGTGTGTTCAGGAACGTATCGAAGCAGTGGTAGAAGGCCACTACCACGGTGACACAACGCTCTCCGAGAGAGCGCAGTAGAGCGCACGGACACGAGGTTCGGTGTTACACTACTACCGGCACAGGCGGGTCTCTATCTGCCTCGTAGCCCGAGCCAGTTGCCAGCGCGCCAGCCAGCCCGTCCATCCAATCGCCCAGCTCACGAGCCGGCCTCGTGTGCGCGCGCGACACCCCGACAGAAAAGGTTCGTTTTCCTCGCCGGTGGCTCGACCGATCATGCCGAGGCGGGGCTTATCGTGAACTTTAGAGCTTGTACATTCCTCGGAAGCTGAAAACACGGCGAACGGACGAACAATTGATCCGGCCCTTGCACACGAATTATTTCGGGCCCCCAGTCTGCTACTACTGCTGTTTCTGCTGCTGCTGCTGCTTGGCTGTCGTTTCTATTGCCGAGATCGGCTCCGCAGAAAATGGACACTGCACCAGTAGTGCGGTAGAGAGACAGAGCGAAACAGATATATAGAAAAACGAGTGTGAACGAGAGAGCGAAAGAGAGCGAGAGAGAGAGAGAGAGAGAGAGAGAGAGAGAGAGGGACAGGGACAGAGAGGGCGAGAAAGAAATAAAGGCCACGCAACTACTACGGGCTACCTAGAGGACGACGACTACAACGACTATAAGCTGAGAAAGAAGGACAGAGGGAGAGAAAACGAGCGAGGGCGAGGGAGTAGTAATCGTATGTACTATGTGTGTGTATGACATAGCAGAGCGAAAAGCAAGAGAAACATTCGTGCACGGGTTCGCCTCGGGAGACACCGGGTTATAAGGCTCATCGTCGTCGTCGTCGTCGTCGTCTCCTCCCAGGCACACGTTTCTCCTGTCCTGTCATCGACAGGCCTCAGTGAAAATTGCATCTAGAAATATCGACAGCGCGACAACAACGATCACCGACCACGACGGCGGCGTATTTGCCATCGAGGAGGCACGGATATGCCTCGCTCGTCGTCGGTGCTGTGACACGCGCCGCGCCGTGTGCTGGCTGAACCTCCCGGAAGAGAGCGTGGGCCTCCGTCTCAAAATACTGTGTGCGGTTTCTGCCGCACGCTCGAGAGCCAAGTAAGTGGAATAAACACGCGTAAATCGTTCTTTTCGTTATCTGTTTGTTCTGACTGGTGAATGAAAAAGAATCGTGGTTTTGAAACATCACACACTCGGGTCCTCGTTTGCCGTCTGAAGCGAGTTAGTTTTTTAACGTGCGTGTGTTATTTCTCTTGCAATCGTGCGAAAGATATGCTTACTGGAGCGCATAAACAGAAAGGAAAGGAAAGAAGGGAGAAAAAGAGAGAGAAAAAAAAAGAATGGCCCGTTATTTCGAGCGCAACCGATTTGGTGCGTCGAAAGTCGCTGGCATCTCTCGCGATCAATCGCGAAAGCGTGCACTGATTCTAGGTTTCCTCATGACCGTGCCGGTAGCACGCCTAACTAGGGATACTCTAGTCCCGGCTTGGCTCTTTAAACGGCTCTACGTATATTGTGTGCGAATCGTGCCGTTCCTTTGTGTGCGTATCTCCGAGGAGTGGTGTGTGTGCGCGCGCTCACATAATCGCGCTCCCTCGTCCGCCCGCTCGTGCTCGCTCGCTCGCCCTCGTATGCATGGCCGCTTCGGTGCGTGGTGTGCAGATTATTCGCGAGTACGCATTGCCGCGTTCAATACGATCGCAATTCGTTTGTTGCTTATTTGTGGCGACGAACGTTCACGCGATATCCAAGAAACAGGAATAAAGAGAGAAAATGAAACACAACCTATAAAACCTTCGATCAACGTTAACAGCTGATCGCGGTCGCTCTCCATGTACGCGGTGTGAGACAGGCCGCCCGATGCTCGCACGTTTTTCACTTCGCAATGATAAGAGAAAGAGAACGATTATTCGGGTCTCGTCGATAGACCTTTGCGATTTTTTTTTAGAAGGGGGACAGTAAGGTTCGTCGCTAACATCTGGGTCCTGAAGCCTTGTATACACGAGGCATGCCCGTTTATCTTTTACGAAACTTATGAGACGCTTCTGCTGTATTTTCTGCCTCTGTGCACTATACACATTTTTCAGATTTCACACACAAAATGCTCAATGAATTAAAAAAAGAAAGAAACCAAGAAAAAAAAAGGGAAGAAGAAAATCAAAAAACTGTTGCATAAAACGAGAGCATTGGATTTATTGCATACCTCCTTAAAGGTCGTTCGCGTGTAACGTTCGTTGAACAAACGATACATTTCGTGGTTTAAAGAGCACGGTCCTACCAATCGATGGACTAGGCTAGTTCCACATCCAATGCCGTCGACGCCAGTTACACTAGTCGAGCTTTATCTTGGAGATAACATTCTACCAATCAATGCCTCCGCATCGTGCATTGCTCCCAACCTTCGAACGCGCTTTACCATGCTATTGGCCTCCGCGATCTCTTGTCGTACACGGTGCGGTACGGTGTGTACTCGGCCAAACGGGCGAAAACGAGACAACCACGCAGTTCGACCGGGAGTTTGCTTCTAAAACTGCTTACAACGCAAGGCTGCTGTAACACGACGATCCTGCGGCGTGCCTCTTTAAACCACACCCGGAACGCTGCCTCGTGTTCGTTCCCGAGACGCTTGCTCTTTTTTTCGAAAATTCTCGTACGCGTCCGCACTGTGGGTCTCCCTCCGTTCAGGCGCGTAACGAGTCTTTTGAAAATGGGGACCTTAGGATAAATTTTCTATTCTTTTTTCTCAACTACTTTGTTTTTGGTTCATCAATTTTGAACGCGAAACATTGTCCGGTGCGATCGGAACAAATGGATAATAAAAGGAAATTAACTCTAGGGAATTTTTTTGAGTCGCTGCGTAGGAAACTAAAGAATTCTGTTTGACTTTCAAATACACGTGATGGTTAAATAACGGTTAATCGGTTGTTTTTAAAGAGGATATTTCCAATTTGAATGATTAATATGAGAGTTATAAATACTGGAAACTAGAAATATTAATTTTACTTTTTGTTTTATAAAACGTGAATTAATTGCACATGTTCACCATCTGTGAATGATTGAAGTAATTTTTATATTGATCTTAAGTAATAATATAAAATTATATCATGTGTATTTGTAATGATTTAATTTTACTTTTATATCGTTTCCAAAGTAATTTAAACTTGAAGTATTTGAATGTCGTTAAATATCAATGACACTATTTACTTTAATGGAATAATTTTTTTAAAGCTGCAGAAAATAATTATTTCTGAAAATTTAGACAATCAAATACAAAAGTCATGCGACGAATAATGCCTGTTTTTATTTTATTTCAATCATTCTCGGCGTTCGCAGCTGCTATACATTCATATTAAGGTACAATGCAAAAATTGATCTGCAGTTCTCACCAGATGTTCAGTGCTTGCGGAATTGTCACCTTACTATTTGGTCGACCACTTCCGTTTTGTTTTTCTGTAGAACGATTATTTTTATATTTGATTATATTTCAAATACTTCAATCTTTTTTCTTCGTGTTATTACACGTGTATAATCTTATCTTTTTCAAAATATTACTTAGATATTACTTAAGTAGAAAAAAATGTTATTTTAAATATGCAATAAACAATCAGGAAAATTGTACATATGAAAATCCAAAAAATCAATTGAAAATTCACTTTTACACATTCCATTAACATGTAAGTGTGGAACTAATTTTGCCATTTGTCATCCGACACTTACTTTCCGTTTTTTTCACTTTAACATGAATGTTTGTCGTTTCCTCCTCGAAGACAAATGCGAAGTTCTTTGGAATACGAGTTCTATTATTAGGATCTACCAATGTTGCTTGATTCGAGAACAAAAAGCTTCTCCCCTATGCTGTCTGTTCTTTGATATGCATCTAAAAAGTCGCTTCTCCTTAAATGTGTTATCGCGACCGAATAAAATACAGTCACAAATGGGTGGCACTGACAAAAAGTCAAGAATGATGGGACGGCGATCGATAGAAATTTTATTCGGATCTGCACTCCTCACTGTCAATAATTTTCATATATAAATGGTATATTTTTGATAAATTATATACCGCTGACAAGGTTAACAAGGTACTAATATATCGTTAAAATGCTGCATTTAAATTTCACAGATCGATTTCTATTTTTCATGCTAAAAATTTTTATTAAACCGACATTCACTATTGATAGGTCCGATATAGTAAATAATTTTCTACAATGAATGATATGAAATGAAAAATACGTGTTCGCCAAAATAGTATACACTTATTAACCTTCATGGACGATGCTGTCTGTAAAGTACGACACGTTTTCTGAAAATCTTCGAAATTTTGATTGTATTAAATGAAAATAGGAAAAACTGTTTACAAATGTCATTAATGTAATTAACATTTATTTCATGATTGCTAACTTGTATAAATATATAAGAATATTAAAAATAGTACATCTTAATGTTAAATATAATTCAATACTTAAAAAGAGAATATAAAGTATTGTTTATTCAATATTATCGAAATATTTGTTGATATTTTGTATTTGTTAATAAATTTATTCTGGTGTTTCATATGTTCTATGAGCACATTTGTGAAACATTTGTCTCATGTGTTTTTCATTTCATTCTTCTAAAGATATATGTTGTGTGTACTTATTTCTGAAAATATTTGTATATTTCTAGTAATAGTTCTTTATATACAATATTTGTGTGTTGGGAAAATGAAATTTTATTTACGGTTTGTTACTATAAATGTATATTTTATAAAGAGACACGTGCAACAGGATACAAAATCATCTTAACATATTGTAGTGTAATTTCCATGTGTTTCCTTTTCTGTTATAAGAAACTTTTATATAACATTTAAAATTCTTGACAGAAAATGTTTAAGAAAATTTTCCCTTGGTTTATCTTGGATGTTATTTATCTTGAAACTACATAGCTTAAGTGTTACATCATAAAGTTACTTTCTCAGAACTGTATAATTTTATATATTTTGTCATGGCTGTTACAGATCCTCATAAACAATAAAAATGCCTCGAGTAAGGAGACAAGTGGTTTTGGAAGATCCTGCCAGGCCTGTCACACCAGACATGGTGGAGACTAAATTACGTATGTATTAATTACAAGTTTATTTGTATATTTATATAATATATGATGTACTTTCAGTAAAAACAGAATTTTTGGATGATGGCTCTTTGGATGAAGTACAAGCACAAAAAGTAGCTGAAGAAACGCCAAGTCCACATCTTCAGGACCACCAATATGGACAAACACCTTGTTATCAAGTGACAAGGAAACCTACACAACCACCACCAAGAACTGAAGTAAGTAAAACTATATTTATGTTAACATAATAATCCTTAAATTAAAAAAATTTCAGATATCACTAAAAAGTTATGAAAAAATATATTAATAATTGCACAAAATTTTTATCAAAAATAGCGTTGCTTAAAACTTTTTTAAAAATAATTAACCCATTTAATATTATTTAAAATTATGTACAATTACTCTAATATTAGGTCATCCCATAAGTTTGTGTCGAATTTTATAATTTACATCAATATTTTCAACAAATCTATAAATTTGATAAAAAAAAATGTAAGCGCCTTCTTATTCCACAACTTTTTCCTATTTTTTGTTGGTAAAACCATTACGTCGTCGCTATAGAATTTCCTTGGATTTTAATTAAAATATTTTTCGCTTTCGGCACGAACTTACGGGATGACCTAATATAATGATCTTCAAATTGTAATATATTAACATCATATGTTTTCTTATGTTTCTACAGCAAATATCGGTTCAGGCGGTGAAACGAAGACTGAATTTGGAAATGGGAACTACAGGTCCCAGCCAATCTGCCTTTAAGGCTCCTAGAGGTAAACGTAGGAGATCTGGATCAAGTTCTCTAACTGGCCACACACCTACAAAAAGTACTTTTCACTTCTTTTCCTTAGAATACCATATTTCAAACGTTAGAGGAAAAAAAATGTTTTATTAATTGCAGGTAAAACAGTAGAGAGAACACGGTACGATACATCACTGAGCTTACTTACAAAAAAGTTCATACACTTAGTTGAAAGCAGTCAAGACGGTGTTGTAGATTTAAACGTAGCGTCAGAAAAATTAGAAGTACAGAAACGTCGTATATATGACATTACAAATGTGTTGGAAGGCATAGGTATTTTGGAGAAGAAAAGTAAAAACAATATACAATGGAAGTACGTTGTTCATCGTATTTTACGAAGAATCAAATACCACATTTTCTACAGTCATATAATAAACATAATTATTTTGTTTTTGCAGAGGCGGTCAGTTACCAAACGATAGGAACGATATTGCTGATCTCAGAAGGGAAGTGGCAGATTTAGAAGCTAAGGAAAATACTTTGGATCGATTGATTCACGGTGCAGACAAAAATCTTAGGGAGCTCTGTGCAGACAGACAATACGCTTATGTAACGTATCACGATTTACGTTCTGTCCCAATGTACAAAGACCAGGCTATAATGGCAGTGAAAGCTCCGCCAGAAGCCACTCTTCATGTTCCACAACCTATCAATAATCTTGGTCAACAAAAGGTGACTACCGCCATTTTAAAAAAGAAATTCGCTTGAAATTGAAATTATATTCCTACTCTCCTCTCATTTATTCTTTGTGTTATTCATGTGTTTGCAGCTTCAAATGCACATGAGGTCATCTCATGGAGAAATCGAGGTATTCCTCTGTCCGGATGATCCTGCAGTTAAAACGTCTCCCAATCCGGGTTACACGACGACGCAACCTGTGCCTTCGTCAAAAGAATCCGAAATACCCTGTCTGCCTCCTGAACTGCTGGCCAATGGAGGAAGCGGGGTTCGGGTTGAACCAGTACCTTCTGTTGAGAGTTCGTTGAATACTCGTTTGAGTACTCCGGTTATATCTGCAGCTACCAGTTTAGCAGGCATGAGGGACGCGCTTTTGTGTGAATCTGATGATTACGGACCAATGGGTGGTGGAAAATTCCAACTCCAAACGGAGGATCAAATTAGCACTCCAGGTAGGATTGCGTATATCTTATAAAATTAGGATTTATTAAGATTCACTTGTTATTCTCTTTTTTAATTGAAATTGTAAATGCTTTTGATGGACTAGAAGTTCAATGGTTAGAGAAAAGTTAATGCATCCGTATGCAGTATTAATTTTAACGCTTTTATTGAGTTAATTATTTTTATTTATTTTGTTTTATGCTGCTCTTCTCTGCATGTATGCTTTTAAATGTATTGCTATGTTTTATTACGAATGTTAAGTACAAAATGCGAATTGTTGCAACAAGGTGAACACAATTTTCCTGAATATTGAGATGAATATAGGAAAGGAAAAATGTTATTTAATAATTAGTTTTATATAATTGTATATTTTGTTAAACTCGTTTTCACCTTCTTGTATTATTTTCCAAATTCTTCAAGCTTGTTATGGATAATTTGTATTGCAATTTTCTTTGATCGACATTTTTCCACTGCAACTTATTATGCTTTATTTTCTTTTTCTTGTACTTTTATTTTATTTTATTTTTCTTCTTGTACTTTTATTTTATTTTCTTTCATTTTTAACAAATGCTTTTTATTTTATTTATTATTTTTTATACTGCAATCCTTTGACCCTGTACTTCTGAGATAACTCAAATAAAAACATACGTTTCTTTCTCGCATACATAAATTAAAGGTTCCAAGTTTTATAACAACACAATTTTTCCCGAAACTTGAAAGAAACGTTGTGCATGCCACTGACAAATTTCGCAACATCTCTAAAAAAAGAAACGAAGAAAAAAATTGATCTCCGAAAAAGAAAGATAGCAAGAGTTGAGTTTCTATTATCCTCTGAATTTCCACTAATTCGAGCTATCTTTTTTCCTTGGTCCTCTACCTTTTCAACAATGGAAGATAGCCGTACCCTAATGGAGCTCTGGCTGTGACTTGTGTGTTCATGAATTAAAATCACATCACAGGCATAGATCTAATTAGGTAACGGTTTTAAACAGCAAGGCTCGTGTCACGCGAAGGTATGTTCTCATGTACAAAATAATTCTTGGCTTATTTGTGCTTCAATGCAGCTATATGTGTGTGCGTTTTTTTTTTTTTTTTTTTTTTTTAATTCTTTTAACATTAATATATCTTATTATAAAAACAGTTTGCTTTCAATCCTTCTACTCTGTGGCTTTTAATATGTTATACTTCAACTTCATGCTGAACTAATTTTTCTAAGCAAAATTAGGGTGCTACCTAATGAATATTAAGAAGCATAATCTTCAGACCATAGTAAATTTCTGCTATTAATCAGATAATTAAACAATCTATTGCTTGACTGTGTAAGCATACATTTCCAATGACCTGTAAGCTACTAAATAATTCATAATATGAATCTAACATTCCAAGTGTTTTCAATTAATGATACAATTAAATAATTTGTCACTCAAAAAAATAAATTACATAAGTTTAAACATTGAAATATGATTGGCCTCTGGTATGCTTAAAAGTGTTCTAAAACCATCAGACTGCAAAAAGATAAAACAAAATGGACTGTTAGAGGGGAAGAGGTGTTCAATGACAAAAGAAGAAGCCCAGCATTTTCTCTCTCTTGTGTTGCAGATCTAAGTATTCTCGATTTCGGAGAGCACCTGCTGTCTCTGGAACCGCCTCTTTCAGAAAACGACTATTCGTTCTCGTTAGGCACGGAAGAAGGGCTTTCGGACCTCTTTGATTTCAAATTCTAAGGGATATTATCGTCCTATAATCGTCGTCGTGACACACAACACACAACCCCTGTCTTTTTGGACTACCACCTCTGAGTTCGCCTCCCTAGTATTCGAACGGATAGAGAGATCACTTTGGTTAATCCAATGTTACGACCGCTTTTGTGTCATACTGATTGGCAGTTTTCGTTATGCCAATATGTTAATCACCGTGGTTCTCGACTAAGTAGCTGATAAAAACCGGAAGAATCTTTTACAAATCCACGGCCACAATGAAAATCGACCCGCCTGCTGAAGTTTTCTTTCCT